TATAAGAGACAGTATATATATATATATATATATATATATTTCACTGGTAAGAGATGTTTATCTTTGTGCATTGACAGATCATTGATAATTAACCAAGCACAATTTAATGTTAACTTACTGCAAGCTTTCCTTGATGTTATCAACATGATTTCGTCTGCTATTTTAGCAAAATATTGATTTTACGTTTTGTTTTGTTTGTTTTATTCTTTTTTTTAATTTTTTTTACTACACACAAATTATATGAAACAGTACATTGACGATTCAATGGTAACTTAATAATGCAAATACAGTAAGAGAGAAATCCTGTAGTACCAGTATTTTCTATTTTGTTGTCATGAATCCTGGAAAACAAATTTAATGTTATATAAATTTAAGCCATTGAAAATAAATCTGCATTTAACAGACATATGCAAGACTTAATCCTACTGTATGTATTGGCAAACTTTAGTGGGTTATTTATATGGGAGCAGTTAGCACTGGAGATTCAATTTGGTATCTCATCCATGAGGACAGTGTCCAACCCTCATTGTGCAAGACAATTTACCTGTGGTTGTCTCTCTCCACTCAGGTGTATAAGTTGTTATCTGTTAAACTCCTGTGCACTGGTTGCAGTTGCAACACTTATGCATGGTCCTTATAGCATTTGATCCAATTACTGCAGTATAATGCTGTTAGCGTATAAAGGTCATGACAATATGCGCGTTTATAAGTCTACGTCTATGATAAGTTATCATTTTACGATGTCATAATAAATTGTGTATCTAGTACATTAATTGAATACTTTATATATCTTTTATTTAGCTATAAGTCTATCATTATTATATTATTATTATTATGTTTAGCAATTCATACCAAATACTGCTAACCCACACCGTAGATGCGTATCTATTTTGTACTGCTATCATCTATATTATTATGTTACTGAGTTTTAAAAAAAAAAAAATTTTTTCATTTGTTTAAAAGTAATTTAGCCATTTTTATTATCTTAATTCGCATTGCATCACTGTACATAAAAAGTCAACATGTAAAAATAAAAACTCCAAATTACCTAAAAATGTTTAACAGAAAAAAATTACCTAAAAATTTTAAACAAAACACTAAAATACAATTCAAAAAACAAAAAGCAAGACAACTAAAAATGTTTTCAGGAGGTGGACTGGATTGCCAATAGCAAAATTAGTCACTTTCAACAGTGTGTGTTGCTCTCCTATGCCCATCCAACAAAATAAAATACAAATTATTATTTGTACCTAAAATTCACAATAAATTACCACAAAAATATTTTTAGTATAAAATGCATTGGAATTTAGTTGCTCTAAAGAATTCATAAAACTTATTATAAAATTACTATAAAACCAGTTAAAAAGCAACACCCAAAATAATTACTATAATTTTAATTGGAGGGAAAATTTCATAAATATTATAAATAAAGATAAGAAATTATTTGAAAGAGCCTTTTAAGCAAGTGGCTGAGACACAGCTTGCCACATGACTGAGAGTAAACTTAAGTCCAGACACTTCTATTTAGTACTGTTATCATCATCTGTTTTCTAAAAGGGTCTAATACTACTGCAAAACAACCAACTGAAACACAGCTAGCAAATGCGGAAGTAAACAATGCATCTTCTGAATCAGCTGCTGCTCCAGTAAAAACGATGATAAAAGTCATTATTTTTCTATCAATTAATCTAAATATGGATTGTCATTGATATTCCAATCCAGTCTGAACTAAACATTATACAACATTCAGTCGCGTCCTCAAAAGTTTGATAATCTTGTTTGTTTGTTAGAGTTTTTTTTGACGTTTATTAAGTGGATTAGTTTTGCTTTGTGTCCGTAGGCTTTAAAAAGCATAATTATAATATAGATGTGCGGTTTGAATAATTTTGATTTGTTGTTGAGATATATCAAATCTGAAGAGACGTCGAAGAAGATAATGAAAGACCAGGTCAAAATTGTTATATTTTTTTCCAAATGTTTAGTGTTCTATATAAGCAGTGGATCTATATATTACAATTTATATTCAATAGAGTGAAGGAAACAAGGAAGGAGACGAGAAGGAAGAAGAGAAGGTAATGGAAAAAAAGAAAGAAGAAAAAGACAATGATGATGATGATAATGATGATGGTGATATTGATCCATTAGATGCATTTATGCAGGGAGTGCAGGATGAAGTGAGGAAGATTAATAATTCTGATCGAAATAAGAAAGGTCTGCCGGACATGGAGGAGATACAGGAAAATGTAAGATATATACATTCTTATCAAGCAGTTATGTAGTAACTCACCAACTACAAAATAGACGTAATATATTTACAGTGCTCTGTAAACTAAGTCTCATTTTAATACTTCCTAAGTGTAGTTGTGTTATGTTACTAATAAAAATCTAGCACTATAGACAGGCTTTCTTTTTGTAGAGGGTGTGTTTTTTCGAGCGAAGTGAGCCTTAGGCTAGAGGCCAACTGGGGCCCCAGCTTGCACAAGTGGAACACCCTGGAAATCTCTGACAAAGTAGCATTTTGAGGGCTTTATTTTTGAAACCCAAACATTTTTTTAAAATCCTATTAATAAATTCCACTTATTTAGGTGTTGTTAGGGAGGTTTTACATGTAGGCCTGTATACAGTATAACACAGCTTTTTTTTCATATTACGTACCAACGTACCAATTTACATAAATTTGGCTGAACTTGAATCTTAGACCCTTCCATTTGAAGTACTGTACCTTTACCACCAAAAGACAAATTAAATGATAAATATAGTAATAATCCATCTATGAAGTAATTGTATACATTTGAAATCTTTGTTTTTCCACATTCAGGTGCCACTTGGCAAAGTTAGCATTGTAACAGGAGTTGCCAAAAAGATACAGTCACAACCGGTTAAAATACTCAACAAGGGAGAACTTATGATAAATGATCAAGACGCTATGGAAGTAAGCATTATAATAGTAATTAATATTAATAAAAACAGACTACAGTGTTCACACATACACAGTGCATTCACATAACAAACTGCATTATAGAAATTACAAAAGACAGATAAAACAGAATGATATCAAGGTTTAAACGTATTCCACAGCTTATTTTGAGTTGTGAATGAAGCATGCATTTTGTTAGTCATTCCTCATTATCAGTAACTGTAACCACTAAGACCTCAGCATCAAACAGTTGGATATTAAATTGTTCAGTGTACCACTTTTGCAATCCCTCCTCTTTTTTAGTTTTAAATTTTTTTTTTATTGCTAACACATGAAATGTGTTTGTACTTCTATATTATATACTAGTACTCTTCAGAAGAAGAAGAAACCAGTTTAGCAGACACAATGAAGAATGCATTGGAACTTAAAAAAAAGAAAGAACTAGCTGCAGTTGACCATAGCACAATTACATACCAACCATTCCGCAAGAACTTCTACATTGAAGTACCTCAGTTGGCAAAGATGACTGTGGAAGGTTTGTAGTTCCTTCCAGTTTTATTGTTGGGTATAAGTATATATAGTATTTGTTCACACAATCTTTCACCAGCAGTCTATGCTGTCTTTATCAGGTGCATATTGTTACTAATCAAACCAGTCTTCTTTTCTTTTATTAATCTTGTTTAGTCAAACCTGTTTTTTCTTTTTTAATCTCTTTCCAGTCAAAGTGATAAATTTAATCTTGGGAAAATTTTCAAATAATAATAATAATAATAATAATAGTATAGTTTTATATAGCGCACATATCTATCTAATATAAGATGCTCAGGGCGCTTGATATGTGGACTAGGAACTCGACCAATGACTTTCTTCGCCCCTAAGGGTCCCTTCATGTCTGTGCTACCCGGTAACCCGGTACCAGCAACTCTCGTCATCCACCACAGGGGCTGTCTGTTCCAGTACACCGGGGTATCCCCCTACTCGTTTCGAAGGATTCTTTATAGTGCACACGAGCCATTGTATACACTGGGCCTACGGTTTATAGTCCTTATCCGAGAAGACCAGAACCATAGCAGGGATGTCACCACGCTGGTCGGCGGTGGACGGGCCCATCCAGCACTCAACATTTCCGACCAGGAATTACAGGCTCCCGACCACCACTATTATTTCAACAGTTTACAAATTGTAACAAAATAATTAGTTTACCTAAACACAATAGACAAGCTAAATTGATAGATAAATACAAGAAGAATACAATAAATGTTTCTGTGGTTACGTTAATTGCAACAAAATACTGCACTGCCCTGCTATTCATCGCTAACTTAACAGCCTAGGCCCAGTTGAGTCATAGCGAACGTCGTGGGCCGGCATGACACGGTTGCTCTGTACAGATTCAAAGGTTAAAGTTGAAATCGTGACCATTCAAGTGTTTTAATATGACAGCATGGTCCGGGGCAGGAAGATTATTAAAAATTTACGAAACCTGATTTATGTTTTATTTCTTTACTTTGTTTTAATTTTGTATTTTAAGTTTTTCACTTTTAATTATAATTGATATATAATGTGTGTAAATGGACAAAAAATAAATAAATGAGTGCACATGAATCAGTGACATACACATTCATCGTGGTAATCGTCAAACATGTGAAGTTACGGCAAACAATATGGTCGGATCGACGCTTTGTCGCCGGGATTTGTTCATTATTATTTTTTAATCTAAAACAAAGCATGTCAACTATTGAATTTAGTTAGGCCTACAGTAAGTCTCATCTTAATCTGTTTTGTTGCATTCCTCAAATTCTGGCCTAGGCCTACCTGGGCCTAGCCTAAAAAAATCGCGTCAGCTAGCCTTTGGCCTAGGCCTGCTCGACTTAGGCCTTTTGGTTTTTAAGAGCTTTCACGAATACGGCGACCCCTCCCCCCAAGGGAAAACGCGGAATGATCGCCGACTGGCACTCCAAAAAGCTGGTGACATCCCTGCCATAGGCGAGCGTGTCGTTCGAACCATTGCCTATATTATGGCTATAGGTTGCGGCGCCCCTGCTAACTGCTTGGCCTTCAACTCACCTGTGTCAAAGTGGCATTGCGGATTATAAAGATCACTCAAACTTGCCTTAATGACATCTAAACAGGTCAAATTGTTAAAAGAGCGATCTCAATCATGGATGATGAAATTTATCCTGGTTTAAATTACTTTGAGTTACTCCCCGGTGGTCAGTGGTGCTGTTCTGTCAATGCTAAGAAGTCTACATTTTCAAAAATCTTATATCCTGCAGCTATCAGGCAGTTAAATGAAAATCTCTAGATGTGACTTATGGTAGAGTGTGATGTTTTTTTCGTTCTCTTTTTAATTTATCACCATATCCTTGTGTTCTGTAGAGTATTTCATGTAGCATCATGATATATAATTCCAGTGTTGTTGTAACATATGAGTGTGATTTGAATTCGTCTCCTTCCAGTCAAATTCATCTACTTCCAGTCCAGGTTCAGTCAAACCTGCCTCTTTCCTGTCTTCAACTGATCCAGTCCAAACTTCAAGCACGGCTGGGAGAAGAAAAATGTCTTTTGTAATTCACCATGCTATTTTTAATTTTTTAGGATGCTAAATATTTACTTACATTGTTAGTTACAAAATATATTATGATTTTGAATGACCATATGTAATTTACTTTCCAGATGTAAGGTGTATGTTTTTTTTTTTGTTTTTCAGAAGTTGAAGAGATGCGTGCAGATTTGGAATCCATTAAAATCCGTGGAAAAAACGTACCAAAGCCAATTAAAGAGTGGGTGCAGTGTGGCGTTTCAAAAAAAATACTTGATGTTCTGAAAAAGTATGTTTATTTATTTCGTTCAAATTTATACACCTCGATAAAATAACCAATCCGTTATTTTCCAATTAAATATTAAAAGCTGTGACATATATTAGAATATCATTATGAAATGTGACCGGCTCCTGCAAAATGAGCCGTTTGTAGAAAAAATTCAAAATTTAGTTGTTGATATTTTTAGATTCTTAATGAGTTCTTCTTTAAGGCAGTGTTTATTTGATGGAAACTGGTTGATTATTATCAAAGTTATGAATATTTAATTTACTGGATATCAGCGATGTAGGTTTTAAGAAAACAACTTGCAAAGCTTCCAAAGTCAATAGTTGATTATTAAGATTTGAATTTTAAATATAATTTTAATATACTTTTAAGTGAATGATATTTTGCAGAAATATCTTCTTTTATAAAATGCAAAAACATGAAATTCTTCAAACTTCAAACAGCGGGTTTTGTTCACAAATTATAATATCTTGGGGCAGATTCAGAGTGGAGTCGGGTGACTTCCAAGCTCACCTCCCTTCCTGAGATAATTTGAGGAATAACCAGCAGCTGTTTTTTGTGGTCATTTATGAGAATACATTTTAATCTAATCTAATCATATTTTTGTACATTATACACAAGTCTCTCAAAGATGGGAGGGTAACTGTTAATCACCCAGCCATTGGAAGGAGACACTTTCTCCAATTTCCTCTTCAGTGTACATCATTTAAACTTTTCTCATCTTCACAAGATGACAACCCCTCCTGCAAATGTCTGGATCTGCCTGGGATATCAATTTTAATTTTGTTTATGTCAATGAAATGTAAAATTCTTTAATTTGAATCTCACTGGTTTTTATGAAAGGAATAAGTATGAGAAGCCAACACCAATCCAAGCACAAGCCATTCCATGCATTATGTCTGGAAGGGATTTGATTGGAATCGCTAAGACTGGTAGCGGAAAGACCATGGCATTCTTGATTCCTATGATGCGGCACATCCTTGATCAAGATCCACTGGAAGCCGATGATGGCCCTATTTGTAAGTACTTGTGTTCTCCCATACCAATTATTATTGAACTTGCAACATCTGTGTTTGCTATATTGTAGCTCAGTATTTGTAACATGTCGATTTCACAATAGAAAGTACATAGTAGTATCTGTTTTTTTTTTTCCTGTTTCATTTACGAAAAGCCCAAAGTTGTTGTTTTACATTGTAATGAATATTTTGTTGAATTGGAAAACAGAAATTTAAGCAGACCACCTGTCTAGATTGTATGGTTGAGATAACAATGTGATTGATTGACTGATTGACTGAAATAACAAGGCAATGCTAAAATAATTCATCAAAATGTTTACCCTACATTTTTGTCTTTTCAACAAATGTCTACCTGGATGTTAGTCCGACCAAAATTTCAAATTCATTACCCACACTTAGTTTATTCATTGGGATTTAAAGAGTGGCAGGGCATGTACTAGCAAATAATTCTTATTCATACAGTTAAATTCACATGCATAGTTAATGTATTAATCATATAACTAAGGAGCTGGTAACCACTAACAGCCGTTTAATTAAAAGCTATACTGTACGTAAGACTGTACATATTAAACTAGCTGACTGACTTATAAATCAATTATGGTCGGATAGGATTGGATTTATCAGTGTAAACACCAAGGATAGCCCACAAAAGTCCAGAAGTAGTCTTATTTCCAGTGGGGTCCTTCTGGTGGTGATTTGACAGTACACCGGGAGACAATCCCTTACTCTTTTCCGAAGAGTGTACTGCGTTCTTTTACATGCACATGGGCCATAAATGCACACAGGACCAACGGCTTAAACGTCTCATCCGATAGATGGTGCGCTATTTTAACTTGTATTTCAGCCCTCTAGCTGAAACACAAGGAGAGGCAGCGATGGGAATTAAACCTGGGACCTAGAAATCTCCACGGTTCATCGCACACACAGTGGCTACCACCAGATTAGCCGACTAAGCTAAGCTGCTCTCTCCCTGATCAAGATATGTTGGACACTAGAAAATAATAGCTCTGTCCACACAAATTCTGTGTGACAAATAGATGTGATATGCCAATATTTGAGTGTTTTTGTCGTCATCATCTCCAATCTTCTTTATACTGTATATTATATTCAGTTTGCAATATCTCTCTCGCAGTAATCTACATTATACACTCTATACTGTAAAACGTCCATTTTACGTACCCCTTGGTACCAAGGGGTGTTTGTAAATTGAAAAATTTGTAATCTAGATCGGTTGTCAGTTTTTAATACCTAGGCGATCTATCCCATACCATTGAGCGCCGACAGCTGACGACTGCCAGGCCAAGCATGAACCAACAGTGCAGCAGCTTGGTCTACCGCGCTAGAGCCTCTGAATTTACCTTCAATAAAAACCAAATTATTTTAATCGCTGGTATTCTTTACTTAACAAAATTTTATTTTAACTCTTATTCAAACATCAAGTTTTATAGACCTTTCTATCATGTTTTTTTCTAGTTGTTAGATCACCGAATGGTGTTGTTTACATGCATTTCACGATCATATCTAGCATTCATGATGTCAATAAGTTTCTGACCCCGACACTTTTGTTCGTCATCGTAAACATGTGCGCTCAATCGGACGACACTTGCATAGGTAGTTATAGATAGGTTTATTATACCAGAAATGGAAGAAAAGATCGAACTGTTAATAAATAAATACAACAAACTTGATTTTTTAAAGAAAAATATACATTATCACTGTGTAAAACATGTGCATGGGGTTGTCGGAATTAGTCGCCGACGACTCGACCGGATGCAGTTTATAACGTCGTGCCCAGGACACTATAATCCTAATCTACACTTACATACAATAAAATAAACCGACTTAAATAATTGGTTGAAACATGCATTTCACGATCATATCTAGCATTCATGATGTCAATAAGTTTCTGACCCCGACACTTTTGTTAGTCATCGTAAACATTTGCGCTCAATCGGACGACACTTGCATAGGTAGTTATAGATAGGTTTATTATACCAGAAATGGAAGAAAAGATCGAACTGTTAATAAATAAATACAACAAACTTGATTTTTTAAAGAAAAATATACATTATCACTGTGTAAAACATGTGCAATCGAACTCTTTTTACGGTAATAATTGGTTGATGATGACGTCATCAGGGGCAAAGACCATTCATAAAATCGACTATTCGTAAAATCGACGTTCATAAAATGAAAGACGTTTTACTCTATTTTATTATCATGGAACATGTTCTTTTCATTTTGCTTGTTCTTTATATATTGTAAGTATTGTAAAAATATATTTACTTTTATCTTATGCATATTTAACCATTTGTTTAAGCTTGTCGACAATAACTATTCCTTGATTCCCTAAATATGACATCATGCCCATATATGGGCACATTACACAAGTCTACTTAGTGAATACTTATCTGGTTAGTAAGACTAATTTCCTAATCTCTCCCAAAAGAGAACACCCCTCGAAAACAAAATGGAACAGTTGGCCTTGGCACCAAGCACAGACGGTCCACAACCATGCATCATCCTCATTCTTTTTCGAAATGTCTTGTTGTTCAGTCGAACTGCAATTTCTCTTCGATATTTACGAGTGTTGCTACTTAGCTACTTTGGAATAATATATTCTGCTTGGATTTTTACCTTAGATTCAAGTTTTCTCATAGTTTTCTTGAATATGACATCATCAGCCCATATATGGGCACATCACTCAAATTTATGACATAAAATCTCATATTATGGACAGAGTTTTATATAGCCATTATATTTCCTATAGGCTATGTTCAGACTTAAGCCAGATTTGAGTTAAGCCCGGCTCAACGTTAAGCTCGCGAAACGTATGTACACTCGCTCAACAGCGTACGTAATTGAATGCTGATTGGTCATTTTGTTACCTGGAAGTCAATGCAAGACCCCCCCCCCCCCGCAACGAAACGATTAAAGCCCAGCTTAGAAAAGTTAAACACGGTGGCACGCCAGGCCTTGTTAATATAGAAACACAGCCCGGCTTGAGATAAGCCACCTAGTTCAGACTGGCAGGTAGATAAACCCGGCGAGTTGAGCCGGGTTTATCCACCTAGTCTGAACTAGGCCATAGTGTCCTCAGAACTTGACTGTAAATTCATATTATTGACTAGTCAGTCACTATTTCGTCAAATATGAAATCAAAATTCACCAAAATAGATAAATTCAATATTAAATTTGATTCTTTCAGCAATGATTTTGACGCCGACACGCGAGCTTGCAATGCAGATTTACAAAGAATGCAAGAAGTTCACACGGTCTCATGGCTTAAAAGTGGTTTGCGTGTATGGCGGCACAGGCATTAGTGAGCAGATTGCTGAACTGAAACGTGGCGCTGAGATTATTGTGTGTACCCCTGGAAGAATGATTGATATGTTGGCAGCCAACAATGGTAAGTTTACAAATTAAATGCTGGACAACATTGATCGCATAAGGAGTATGTAAGATAATCGTAGTATCTTTCAGTCAATATTATTTGCCTTTCCAGCATTTGCACTAATTTAGACCTTATTGTAGTCTTATTTCCTACAAATAAATTTAAAGATGTATATTAACAATTATTGTTCATTTCTTCCAGATTTTTCTATGAGATGAATAAGCCATTGTCAACAATATAGGAACATCACATACATATATTTCTCATTCAAATTATGCATTTGCTCTTCTACAGAACTACAAGTTATAAAGTTGTCAGAAATTGAAATTCACATCAACATGATTATTAAAAATATAAAGCAAACAATGTTTAAAAATAATTGTTTAAAGAACATTTATAGTAGTTTTATTTTCAAGACTATATTGAAGAATATTGTATCCCCTATTCCCACCTCACCCTAACCCACCCCTTCTGATCATCAGAAAAAGCAAGACTTAGTTTAACACATACTGGTATAATGTAGTTATATTGTAGGACTAAGCTCCCACACATGTGGTTTTTATTGTCTTGGATTTCTGTTCTCAGGGGAAAGATTTGATTGGCTGAGCAGATTCTGACTTGCAGACAGTAAATATGTCATCCGTGAGAAAATGTAAACATTTGGTATTATGACTGTCCACCTATCAAACTTTTTTCCCTCATTGTGTTGCAAAATCCCCAGACTTTTGTAAGATGGAGATCAGATAAGATTACTTTCTGATATGTTCCAATACCTTTTTTTGGTTGTATTTCAATTTTTGTTTTTGAATTGGTATTTGTTTTCGAGTAAACATACTGTAAATGTGCTCAAACTTCAAAGGTAACCAGCACAAATTGCATTATTTTATTATTACTGAGGAAATGCAGTAGCTGGTGGGACAGTAAAATATACTGTATGTTATGTTGTGAATTATTATTTAGAAGGAATTACCTTGTTAATATCTCATATTGAAGGGCCGAAAAAACCTTACACATAGTTTTTTCACCTGTAATTTATGATTTAACAAAATGTTTATGGGAAGGCACATTTTCTGGTGCAATAAGTTGAAGTAACTCAAATGGCTTTTGAGTAGGACGTTTTGTTTGGTACTACAGTATAGTGCACCGATAATAGTAAATTATACAGTAAGTTGAGAAACACTTCCTACCTTTTCACATACAGTAAATTGTACTGTTTTCTGACCTTGTACATGGGCTATGTTGTACAAAAGACTGATGACTAAGACATCTGTATCTGGTGCGCACCTACCTGTATTACACCAAAAGAGAAAATTGATGTAGTAGAACCAAGGACACAAAGATCACCACAGTTACCACCAATTTTAACCATCTGCGCTCTTCTGCTCTCTCTTGTAGGTCGAGTTACAAATCTAAGAAGATGTACCTACCTTGTCCTCGATGAAGCTGATAGGATGTTTGATATGGGCTTTGAACCGCAGGTAATATAAAGGTCGTCAAATCACCAAATTTCATGTTCGATGTTAACTTTAGAACATAGTTAATAACCCCTCAAGTCACTATCTGATACTGTACTTTCAATTTGAGTTAATATACATGTATAAAAATAATAATTTTTGAATATTGTTTTGGTAAGTACCTACAGTATTTAAGAAATTGTTTAATATTAAAAATTTTTAATCTGTAGAATTTATAACTATACAATCTGTTAACTTTTCTCACTAACAGGTGATGAAAATAGTTGACAACATTCGTCCAGATCGCCAGACTGTCCTCTTCTCAGCTACATTTCCTCGTCAGATGGAGGCGCTAGCCAGAAGAATATTAACTAAGCCAGTTGAAGTACAGGTTGGAGGACGGAGTATTGTTTGCTCAGATGTAGAGCAACATTTGGTGTGTAAACAAATCTAAATCTCTTTGTACAGAGAATAAAATAAACCACTACTCATTGGTATTAATGTACGTAATTAGTTGGGAATAAATAGTGGTAAACTATTTTAAATATATTATGACACCCAGCTTTCAATTATTGTGGATTCAATTCACTGAAAAGGCTATCTATTCTTTGATAAATATTTGTACCTTATTTGAATGTTAATGATGATAATAATGATAATGATTATAATAATAATATTAATATAACAACAATGACCGTAACAATAGCAACATTAACTGTGATAATAGTAATAGTAGGCTTAGTTAATATATTGCTTGCATATGGTACTGTATATTTTAATATGTTATAATTATTTGCAGATTATTCTGGAGGAAGAAGAACAGAAGTTTTTGAAGCTGCTGGAACTTCTAGGCATCTACCAAGAGAAAGGCAGTGTCCTGGTGTTTGTAGAAAGACAGGAATCTGCAGACAGGCTGCTGAAGGATCTCATGAAATCTTCATACTCATGTGTCTCTCTTCATGGTGGTATTGACCAGTATGATCGCGACTCAATTATTGAGGTACATAGATACTTATACCCTTTTATACTGCAAGCAAAATTCCAGACGTAACCCAGGATTTTCCAATACCCGGGTTAAAATCTCCCGAGTTGTGGTTATAGTTTAAACGTCAAAAAGTCCTACTCGGGTTGCCAAACATTCCGGAAGGGATGTGCGGGACACATTCAGCGTAGGACAACCCGGATGCATTCCGGAATCGCCAGTGTAAACAGCACCGAATTTGATTCCAGAATTAGGCCTTACCTGGCGCCTACCGCAGCTGTGGTCAGGTAGGCCTAAACTTTGCCTACAACGGGCTAGGCCTAGACACTTGTCAAATTAAACCCTCTATGCTCCGGTATAGACTTGATATCAAAATTGCTGATTTAATTCGCATAATTAAAAAGCAATCTGCATGTACATTGCTTCAATAATTGACAATAATTGTGGCTTCGTGACAACGAGGAACTTGAGCGAAATGATGATCACCATCGCAACAAAAACTGAGGATGGTATTTGAACCTTTGAACCCGAGTTCGTTGCCAATGTAAAATGGCAGCAACTCGGGATCAACCCGGACTTTTTCGTTCAATGTAAATAGGAAATGCACCCGGGATTACTCCGGAAGTAACCCAAGTTGATTCTACCAAATTGATATTGTCATTTCCATTCTTATTATCATTGGTTTCATTTCCATGCTTATCACTCCTTGTGTCTATTAATTAAACTACTTTATTTAGAAGTATAATTGAGTACCCGTTAGAATATTATTTTTTGTCTTAAGTGTTTCTGTGCCAGAAATTCACAACTATACATACAGTACGTAACCACTCAATAATTGTACGATTAATAACAATGAAAATGTAAATCACATTTTCAATGTATATCATATGAAGTGTTTGTAAAATAATATTGTCTCTTCATCAGGATTTTAAAGCAGCTAATGTGAGGCTAATGGTTGCCACATCAGTGGCTGCTCGAGGTCTAGATGTAAAGCATTTGATCCTAGTGGTTAACTATGACTGCCCAAACCACTATGAAGATTATGTACACAGATGCGGGTAAGGCATTTTATAGATAGTTTTGCAAATATTAGATTATTTTTTTTTATAATTTATAGAAATGTAAATGAATGTCAGGTCATGTCATTTTAACTGTGAGCATTAAGATAAAGGTATATGATGCAACACAACGAATTGCAAGCTGGAGATCTGTGGATGTTTACATGTTCAACAATACTAAGAGGATGAATGTAGGATCAATTAAGTGACCATGTGAACATGCAAAGCAACTACTCAACAGTTGATCACAAAGTTTAAATCCTGTATTGGTTTTTCATTTTTATATCTTAATATAATTTACTTGTTAAGCCTTAGGACCTTTGCAATATGTACGGTTGTGTGTTATGTTTATTTTCAGGAGGACAGGTCGAGCTGGTAGGAAGGGTTATGCTTACACCTTCATATCCCCAGACCAAGCAAAGTTTGCAGGTGATGTTATCAAAGCATTTGAAGTCAGTGGCCAGAAGGTTCCAAATGAACTCAATGAAATTTGGAAACAATATGTTGAAGATCAGAAAGCAGTATGTATTCCATTGCATCACCTATAAAAGCATATAACCCTTGCTTACATATGAAGTATGGAATCATCTAAAACTAAATAGTGAAGTTTTCTTAAATTTTGCTGTGTTTTTTGGCAAAACAATTTAACCATAACTTGATGGTTTCTTGTTCAAAAAATTACCTCGTAAAAATTGTGTAATAATACCAAATACAGAAGTGTTTCCCCTATCCCCTCCCATTTAGGATAGTCCAAATATGGTAAATGAAGGTTAAGAAAAAAGTATTGTGTGTGGCTAAGCATTTTAATACTTGTGTATCATCTATGTTTTCAGAGTGGTAAGCAAATTCAAAAGAATAGTGGATTCAGTGGTAAAGGCTTTAAGTTCGATGAAACAGAAAGAGAACTTGCAAACGAAAAGAAAAAACTACAGAAGGCGTCGTATGGCTTACAAGATTCAGATGAAGAAGAGTTGGGACTGGATGTAAGTTTTCCAGTTAAAAATTATATGAAGTTGCTATTACAGGGAATGACATTGAAATTACTGTTCCGTATCACATGAAAGGAAGTTATATATGTGATCCACTCTAGTAAAAACAGACTCTTGTCTCAAAAAAATGTAAAATGACATCTTCATAAATCCAGTAATCAAAAGCTAATAATTGAACAAAAATTGGATAACAAATGACAAAGATAGAATGTCTTGTCTATTTCTAGTTCAACATGTATTAAGATAGTTGTTACATGAGATTTTTAGCTGATTTGAAGACTGGTGTTTTATTAAAGAAAAACTCCTGATTTTGCCAGCCTAGGTCACATAACTTGATTGTAAAGAGCTAATTTTTAAACCTGCAAGTTTTAAAATAAAGTTATGAAATTACAAGAGTTATACAAGAAGCACCAAATGTATCAGTAAAAGGTTCAACAATATAATAAATTTAAACCCTTTAACGTTTTATTTAAGTAGAGAAACGTTGTGAATTTCTAAGACAGGATTGAAATACAGTTTTGTTTGTACTCTTTTACATTCTGCACGTGAAGCTATAGCATGTTTTCATATAGTATTCATAAACGGGGGTCCCAAGTTGGAAGAACCCATTTCCAGGAGGTTTGTTTAATGACATTGGGTGCTATATATTCTGTGAGGAAAAAGTGTAGGTACCAAACAAAGGGTCACACCCACCATGATTGGGACTGAGGTGATGACATTTTTTAGAATAGGCATCTTTAGAAGCCCGGAAATGGCACTGTCAGACTGCAAAAAAAATAATCGGCAACCAAAGTTTAGGCCTAAATAAAACAAAATGGTTTGTTTTTGACTGAATTTGCGGGAGATAAGTGAATTTCCTTGAGATTTTTGCTTGTTTGTGGGAGATCATACCGATTTCCGGGAGATTCCCTGGAGTTCCGAGAAACTTGGGACCCCTGCATAAAATGAAGGCACATTCATCATGACTGGCACTACAGTGCTAAGGCAGACTAAGTACATTCCTTAATGCATTATTATAGCATATTTAGAGCTTTCCACATGTAGATGTTAAAAGTGAATAACGATTTTTGAATAATTATAGATTGATGAGAAAATTGAGACAATGTTTGCAGCCAAGAAACGAGTGAAGGACATTTCAGCCGCAGAAGCCGCTATTGGTATTTCAAAGACTGTCACACAAGATCCATCAGGTCCTGTAAGCAATGTTAACCTTGAAAAGGCCAAGCGATTGGCTGAGAGGATTAATCGTAACTTAGAGGGCGATAGACACAATGTAATGCAACAGGCAACTCAAGCGGTTATGGACGGCAGGACTATTGCACCTCCTACAGTCTCGGTATGGACCTTTTAGTCAATTATTTTTATATTGTTAATTTCTTTTTGGAAAATTAACAATATAAAATTAATTAAAGTATGCAAATATAAATTGGTTCAAACATATGATTATTACTATGTGAATTGAGGAGACAACCACATATTTAAAAAGAGCCCAATGTTAAAAAAGAAAAAAATTTTTACAAAATATGACAAGTATTAAGGTATTACAGAGCCTCTGAGAGTGATGGGTGTTAGTAACATATGTTCTTAGTTGAAACTCCTCATTCTGTTAAATAGAATATATAGTAACAACAGCAATCAGCAACAATACGATATAATGAAAACACTTTAAAAAATCATACAGTACATTAATACAGACTTCTAAGCCAACTATTCACCATCACACAATCAAGCATCACAGACTAGCAAATTAATGGATGATCTGTCACAACTCATGTGCAAGTATATATTCATTAAAATGCAAATTTAAAAACAAGCTAGTTTTTCTAGTATGTGATGTAATAAAATCAAAATTTTTGATTTACGTGCTTAAAATTATTAATAAAACATTATGCTCTTTTACAGGCTAAGTTGATTGCAGAACAGTTAGCAGGAAAATTGAATGCCAAGCTGAATTATACCCCAAAGGTTGAGGAGGAGGTTGTAGAAGAACAAAAAGAAACATGCAAAAAATATGAAGAGGAATTACAGATCAATGATTTCCCACAGACCGCAAGGTGGAAGGTCACATCGAAAGTAAGTTGATATTAAATGTATAAGTTAACAGCAGCAGAATTTTATTAAACTTTTAGAGATATAAGAAGGACCTTAACATAATTATACTGTATACCTTTTGAAATTTAGTGTTGCTAATATTTTTTTTTAATAGGAAAATCTTGCGCAAATTCAGGACTACAGTGATGCAGGAATTACAATTCGAGGAACATTTTTTCCACCAGGAAAAGAACCAAAAGATGGTGAAAGGAAGCTTTACCTTGCTATTGAAAGTAAGATGCTCAAAATTTTCTTTGATATTATTCCATTTAATTATTAGGCATAAGCAGTGCTGGAAAAAGCACATGACAGCGCAACCAGCATCCGAGGCATCATGAATGTCCCAGAAGCATTTTTGGGGGAAAGAAAATAAATAAATAAATAAACCGTTGGGTTATAGTGTACAGATAACATTTGGTGCTGCAGGCATTTTATCAAAACAATTTTTATAGTCAGAGGCACAAAGTTCAAAGCATAAGTAAAAAACTAATAACAGCAAATGGAATTTTAATTTTTCAAACTTCCTATATACTTATATAGTGGTCTGATGTATATATGTCGAACAGATTCTATTCTGCCTGTTGTTTTTACTGTACTTAAAATTTTAAACATAAACCAACATTTTTAGGAGTTTAGCAGCATAATGTTTAAATTTCACATACTGACTGATTTCATTTTTGACATTTTTGTTTTGCTTGATAACCGAAAGCAAACAATTGTGATATATGTTGTGATTTATGTGCCAGAAATATGTTTCTCCTATTATTTTACATTAAGTTTTATATTTCCATTTATATTTACTGTATAATATTTCTTTTTAAATCATCGTACTAGTAATCTGCCATTTTTGCAGTTTTATGGTTCTTCTTTCATGGTTCCTTCATCCTGATCTATTTCTGCATTTCTTTTGTTGTTTTTTTTCTTCTTTTTGATAAGTTTTCTTTCAGACTGTCTTCCATTTGCCTTCTATGACCCCTCCCATAAGTATTCCCCTTTTAACTGTGTTTCCACTCCACATCTTTTATGTCACATTCATTATATCATTGTTTTCTTTTTTAACTCTTTTTAATAAATATATATTTTTTAATCATCTCTTAAATCCACATTTAAAAACATTTGATTATGTATCATGTTGTTTGTAAGTAGCCTTTTGTATTTGACACACTAACTAAAATTTAATGAATATTTTTTTTGGTTTATCATAAAATGAAAATTATAAAACACAACATTTTAGGTATTGAACTTTTATTTTCAAGGTGTATCTGAGTTGGCTGTACAAAAAGCAAAAGCAGAAATTATTCGGCTTATTAAGGACGAGCTTATTCGTTTGGTAAGTTTTTAAAATCAGAAATGTTTACATTTTTTTTTACTGCATTGGAGCTCTAGTTTTGCAAAATAATAGGCTTGCTCAAACCATACGTTAATACTAACTTTCATCAAATTTTTTCTTTTTTTTGCAGCAAAATTCTTATCAACCGACAAACAAAGGTCGTTACAAAGTGCTTTAAGTTCTACATTACCAAATCAGTTTCATCTTGTCACAAACACCTCCAACCATCTTCAAGAAATGGTGTCATTTAGTTGTGTTCAGGTGTATACGGTACTGTACCTACTGTACTGTATAATATTTTTGGTATAACATAATTATTCATATAAAACCCAAGACCCTGTAATTTTTAATTTGTTGCTGTACTACTTGAGACAAAATTATACTTGAATGCAATCAATAAATGATTTCTTAATGTATTATGTAGTGGGCAAATAGTAAATGATGGAATAAATCTTTATCAAGTTCATATTTACCTAAATTATGTTGAATGTCATTTTGACCAACAGTGGAGCCCATTATGATGTGAACTATGACCCCTTAATAGTGTAATGTTGCTGAGTGAGGCTAAGTTGGTATCCAGACTTAAATTCTAATACCTGTATAGCAGTAGTAGTATTTTTCGTAATTGTCAATATCTTATAGATGTTTAATTGGTGATATTGGATACCAAAAGAGGTGAAAAGAAAGTGCTTGCTCTGAAGACTTTATATTTGGTACACTCATGATAAATTACATAGCAATCACTATAAGAATGACCCCAGAAAAGGACCAGGTGGAGAGATAGCATAGATTAAAGCTACACAAATGGTGTAACATACAGCTAGAAGTCATCACCTATGCCAAAACCATACATGTTCTTTATTATAGATGCACTCTGGCTGGGTATATAGTCACTTAAAATAATTTGTGTTCTAATTTTTTTTTTAAATCCTCAAACATTTGCTTACAAATTTTTAATGGCTCACATTTAAAGATCCAGCAAGTTATCAACTTCCTTATAGAAACCTTAGTGTGCACTTACAACAAATTCTTATTGTGTACTAATTTGTGGCTATGCAAAAAAGTAGGAATAAAGAATATATTTTCCCATTCAAATTTTCATTTGATTAATAAATAAATTTAATTACATTACATAAAAATACGAGTTAAGCCATATAAATTATATTACAAAATTTTATTAGCCCAACTTAGTTACACAACTGAGACAGTATATCTTAAATATGACGATTTTCGGAAATGCATTATTGTATTACAAATGTATATTAAATATTTTGGAACAAGACATACATTTATGAATCAAGAAAACCATGATTGATTTGTGTAAATAACACAAATCTATAATTTTATAAACACCAAATCTGTTGGGTAGAGCAATGCACAAATACTCCCCATGCCATCTTAAACTTTTTAATTTAAAGAACTGTATTTGTAATGTGAACATTTTCTGTGTATATTTTAACTGATTTTCAAATTTCAGATCAGTTTGAATTGAAAATAAATGACAAAGTTACCTTTTTAAAGAGATGTTTTAGTAAATGTTCTTTTTTTCTTGTTTGTGAGGCATCCTTATGACCTATTTACACAGTGACAATAACGATCAACGATAAAAATCTAAAAAGCAATTGTTTATATAGGAAATAAAAGAAATAAGATTAGTTTTCACACTAGCAAGATTCGATAACGATTTATCGCTTATACGATAAAACAATATTTTCACAAATCAAATCAAATGACGTCATAATAATGGGAAAACGATAAAATCGTTTTTACTGCTACGATTTTAGCGGTTTCCCATGATTATGACTTAATTTGATTTGATTTGATTTGTGAAAATATTTTTTATCTTATGCACGATAAAACTTATTATTTCTTTCATTTTCTATATGAACAATTGCTTTATAGCTTTTTATCGTTGATCGTTATCGTCATAGTGTAAACAGGCCTTTTGGCAATGAGAACTTGCTCCTGTATTCTACTGGGCAGGTATAGAAATCATACATGGCGTCTATAATACTAAAATAAAAAATCAACATTCCTCTATTATAATCACACGTTGCTCTATTATAATAGAACAATGTAATGAAGAAGTGATTTAAGCACAAAAATCTTCTAACGGACATTGGTTTCAAAGTCACTTAATCATTGTCAATAGCGGGAGTACCAAAAGGATCGTCTTGGGCCGTTTTTTTATGAATTGTTTTTGTGATTGACATTGCCGACAATATTGAGTGTAATATTAGCCTATCTGCTGATGTCACCTCGTTAAATTATATTTGTACTGACAGGTAAATTTCTGAACAAAAAATTATCTCACTCGAATGCATGATTAGGCAGCAAAATAGAATGTGAATTTTAATATAAAAAACTACATAATTATATACGAGCCGGAAAGAAACTACAGTATTTCTTTAAATGTAAAATTGAATAACAACTCTATATACAATTTAGTAATGAACACAAACATATTGGAATACCTTCAATTCAAAAGTTATGGCATTAACATGTTCAATGTGTAGTTAATAAAGCATCTAATTGATTGAACTTGTTGCGTCGTGTAAAAGGTATGTTGCCTCCACCAACACTGTCCCCCTACTGATATTTTCAATATTTGGGGAAAATATATTAAGATCGTGGTGCTGAAGAAGAAATAAGTAAACAGGTAAACAGTCCAAGGAAGCTTAAGTTTCAATTGTTCCTAAAATATAACATTATCGGACATTAATAGGCAATTGTTTCAAATGTGAGTAGCGGAATAAAAAAAAAAGAGCCGCAATGAGCAGATTTTAGTATTTTAATCAAGGACTTTTTTAACGAAGGGCGAGTCTATTAGAAAGTTAAGTTGGAGAAATGTTAGTGATGGATTTAAAAACGAAAACCATGATTTTGAAAATGATTCGATTTTCGATCGGAAGTCAGTGAAGTTCATGTATTAACAAGGTGAAGACAAATTAACTACAGTATAGCTGCCCAGTCAAGGAGTAGACGTTATCGTAATCAAGTCTTGAGTGCCCGAATGACAAAATGACAGTATTAATCGAAGAGCCTGCATATCCGGGAAATGTTACGGAACTGACATGTCAGGAACAGGGAGGTTTAATATAGGCAATCTGGTCATTTGGAAATCACAGTATGTCTATTCACATTATTGGAACGAGAAATGTATTTTTCGCCTACCAATAAGGACCCACGAGAAAAAGGACCCATGGGAAAAAAAACAAACAAACAAAAACAAACAAAAAACTTCAGTTTTATCACCATTGATTTTCAATATGTTGCACTCCTCCGTTTCGTAAGAGCACAAATGCTATGAGGAGTTTGTTTATAGCCAATGCCAAGGTCTTTATGATCAAAACTGATGTACAATGATATGCTATGATATGGTACCATTGTCATAGTGCCACTTGAACATTGCATTCTGCCTTACATATTGGAGCTTTACAAATCCTAGTTGATTGATTGATTGACGATAAGGTAAATGATGTAATAATTCGACCTAAGGGAAATTGCACTGCTCTGATCAAGCGGTACTCAAAATACACCATTGTGCAGATATATGTTTCATTATAGCATCTTCAACGTTCATTAATGAAGTTTCAAAGTTATGAGCCTTTTTATACGCAATATTGTAGTCGTTGGCCTAAATTACTAACAATCACACGGTTTTTAACGTTTTCACAGTCGAAACGAAAGATCGGAAAGAGGTCAATAGTTTTTTAAGAAGTTATTATAGCCTGTTTAAGGCAGCCAGGAAAAACTCCAGTAGCAAGACCACAAAACCGATTAAATACGATTTTGAAACCCATAAATTGTCATATTTTGGGGGCTTCGCGCCCCTAGAACAATTTCAAGTGAATTTGAGCGATGCTCGACCGTCCGATATTTTTTTTCGTCGGGGACATCGGCCACCACTTGTCGACTGAGCTCTTCTCTACATGCGGACGTGTACTCATTTTACAAGCTGGGTTGGCCTATGTCAATCATTTATAATCTCATGAAAGTTCAACTGCTTTCTCCAAATCAGAAACACATATGTGGTACTGTACGCAGTAAAATGCGATGCGATATTAGGTAGTTTTCGCCGCACGACGTTAACCTTAACGTTAAGGGATGATGTCATAATTTATTTATCTTCCGTTGCGCAGTAGGCCTACGTTGATTTAAGGATACGTAAAAAGGTACGTAAAAACTAAATTTAAATGTAAATGAAATTTAAATTTAAAATTAAATTTGTAAATCGTACTGTTCCGATTGCAAGCAATGAAATTTCCTTACTGAGGATGAATAAAAGTTTTGAATCTTTGAATCTTAGTTACGGGTGTGCGCATGCGTATTTCGATTTGTTTAAAAAAGGGCGGAGCCATCGTGTTGTATTTAAGTACTAACGTTAAAGTTAAGGTTAACGTCGTGCGGCAAAAACTACCGAATAGCGTTTCTTATATATCAAAAATCATAATAAAATATAATAAGCCAACTAAAGTGTACGGAAGTCTAATCTTATTATACACCGATAGATCTAGAAGTTTTCTTTTCTGAAGTCAAATCCAAATTGTGAGCTCTTTTTACAGATAACATCACCAAGTTCTGGTACACCGCTGAAGAACACAGTAACTTTTCCTTGCCGGGCATTGCGAATGTTTGTGAACACCTGGAAATATAAATACCGATAAATATAACCAATAATCTATGTTTGCATACATTATTTATTTAAACTATTTTGTATTAAATCGACATTGATAATATTTTTTTTAAATTATTAATTGATATAGTTGAATCTAAACTGCGAAATACTGTATATGATACGAGACGATGCACATTTTATATTGTTTAACGAATCCAGTATTACTGATCATGATTATGACTTCGTTACCTTGTTCCAATCAGGCCTACCAGGCTGCGTGCGCGTCATAAGACCTGTGATTGTGTCCCTGTTGCTTTTCTTATGTAGCAGATCGAGGGCCATTTGTAGACCGATTGCTTTGACGTCATTCATACGAAGCGCTGACGTCATATATAGGTGCATATTCAAGAATCGATTTGTTGGTTCGATAATCTGTTGTTCTATTTCAATTTGATTCAGAAGACTTATGAACCATTCGAACGACCTTTGATCCCTATTAATCCACATGAAATCGACCTAATATAAATGAAAAAAACATTAATAGTTAGGCCTAATAGACTACCTAAATTATATTCATAATATATTATATATATTAGATATAGACTCCCAAATTTAAATTTTATTAGATTTTCTAAATAACGTAGACGATACTTTAATTTTTATTCTGTCTATAACATAAAACTTGTTGTAAAGCTAGAGTTACAAGGTCAGTTTTTGTCTTCAAATATCCATCCAGAGTAAATATGATTAATTTTTAATTTTTTTCTTTTTCTGGCAAATTTACATTTATTCACAACATTTACATAAACATTCACATAAATACCATTGAATAAACATAAAGAGATCGATCTCAGTTATTGTACTTATTTTCATTTCGTTAAATGTTTGACAAATAATTCATTTTCTCTCAAAACTTAAGATTTTTTTTCAGTTCATATCTTTTCATTTCCATTAAAACAAAACTTTAAATTTCTTAATCTTAAAAATTTAATTTCAGGTAGAGCCATATTTACAATAAACATACACCCATACATAGGCAAGGATCATCTTTTTATTCCTAAGATAATATTACAAGTTGACAGGTTAATAGATTTACCAGTAATAGCAAATATATTTTTTAAACTTCACACCAGAGTGGTTTAACCAGTTTAACTTTAGTACATGAAAATAGAAAATGTCCAATATAATCAAGTTCGCCTCCATAGCGGAAGTTGCAATTTTCATCTTCCAAAATTCCTAGTTTGTTTAACAATACTCTAGTTGGAGAACGGTTACCGCATGTAATATTTTTCAATTTGTACAAAACACACGTGGATCAGATTTAACGATTAATAGATATTTTCCAGATGTTGCTTCAATTCAAATTGTTTTTCATTAACTTCCTATTCCACAAATGTTGTGATCTAGGTGGGACATAAATATTACCAAGTTGATTTCTAATGGTTTGTGTAGTTACACATTTTAATGACATGTATCATTGTCAATCATTTTTTTTTACACCAGTTATTCGGAATAGCATTTTTAAGTTGATAAAATTCGATCACCAAAGCCTTACTGTTATTATCCATACGACTGTTAAATGTACCATCATCATTGTAAAGGTCGTTTATATAAACAAAACCTTTTCTTATCCAACTACTAAAATGGAGAGTGTTACCTTTATATTAAATCAATTAAATATAATTTAATTGATAATTATGACTTGATCATGTGGAATTTGGACATCATTTATATCTAAGACCGTATTTAAGTCGTACCTTTGCAGTAAACAAGATAGGTAGTATGTATTGTCCACTAAGTAGTCCATATTTCTAACAGTTACGTTATTGCAGGCAGTTAAGAGAAAGACATGAATTTCTCGGAGAAACTTTTCCAAGACACTGGAGTGAAATGTTTTTCCACGTACAGATTTTTTCATAAAATAGCCTTTTTATACATTTTATTTTAGCTGATGCAATTATACTTGGGAGAGGAATCATATCAAGGCCACCTTCGCTTGTTTGGCCAATCTCTGTTAATCTCTTAACTTTTTCCTTTCTTTGCCCCTAAAAATTTAAAAATGAGGCTTTCAATCTTTTAGTACATAGATCTGGAGTGTCAAGCGTCATTATTGTAAATAACGTCTGCGATATAAGAAGGGACTTTAGAGTGAGATTTTGTTTTGTCCATAAATTAATTATGTTTTGCATTTTTGAAATTCTATTCTCCCAGTTGTCTTAAATGAGTTCTGTAGGAATTACATTTCAGAAAACAATTCCTAGAGCTTTTTTGTCATTAGGGCAATTCCATAAATTCGGACGTACATTTCAGACACTTTGTGAATCTATATTTTCATAATGAAGCTTGCAATTATTATTTTTTTTAAGTTTGCATTACATCTACTGGTTAGTACTATCAGGCTAACAATTTTTATTTTTTAACTTGCATGCGTCACGGAAAGTGACTTTTCCTACGTCACTATACTTTTTTTTTTAGTTCTGTGATGTGTGGGACATTTAAAAAAATATATTTCCCTGTTGTTTTCCACTAATGTGTAAGCTTTCTAGCAGAATAAAAATTGAATTTAATTTTTTTCATTTTCTCTATGAAAACACCATGAAATTATTATGACGGACGTTCAATTATATCGCGACGGACGTACTTGTCTGAATTGTGACCGACGTACACATCTAAAAATACAATAAAAAAATCTACAATCTATATTATTTTATTGATTAATTAATATACTGGTATGCTTATATGATATAAAAGTATTAAAATATACTGGATTTTAAACCTTTTTAATAATGAGTGTAAAATACAATGAATCAAATAATTTAGGTTATTTTGTGTCAAATAATCCTCAGTTAACCTCATTACCCTAGTATCCAGACCATGTTTGTATGCTTTGAGGTAAAGAGAATATTGACTTCAAAAATTGGTTCAGGGTGGCCCTAGAATCATTTTGGCTTGGTAACACGTTTTTAAAATGTGGCAAAATGTCAAAGGTCAGGGTAAAAAAAGTCATAGTAATAGGGCCCTTATATCTTCGCAACCACATGTGGTAGAGAGTTAAGTTTGGTGCCAAATTGTTCAAAACATTTATATTTCTACTTGCTATAATAGAATATTATTGTTAAAAATGACCGGACATGCCATTTCTGACCTTTGACACATCTCCGGGTCATATTCACAGGTTCTCATATCTCCGTAACCACTGGTGGTAGGGAGTTAATTGTGATGTCAATTTGTTCAGAACATTCATGTAAACAGATTATAAAGGAGTTAGATCTAAATTTATAACCAGGAAAAATGATTATTTGGTTCCCAAATGCACTTTGTTATTATTAATTAATGCAGACAGCAGACTCTAGTGAAATACTACATACTGTACTGTACTAGATCTATTAAGCCAGGTTCTAGCTTTTGGTGTCAACCTCTTCATTGTATAAAGAATCCTGCAATGGGCAAGTTTACTGTAGATTTTAAAGGTTCTGGATTATTGTAAACACCTGTAATGTATATACATACAACTACATTTTTGCAATACAAGAAAAATCATAGTAATTGTAGTTAATCAAGATGACTGTATGGTTACTCATGCTCAATAAGGTGTCTTATCTTACATTTATAATAATATCCTGTAATTTGAATATAAAAAAATAATATAATCATGTTAGCTGTAATTGTACTAAATTACAGGACATTGTTAAGATGAAGTAAGTAGAGTAGCCGTGTTAGTCAAGATGATAACATTATTATGTAATTTCTGTATTGCCTGCCTGATTTTTATTGGATATTTGCTTAAAATTTTGGTCCAAAAATGTTTTTTGTTTGTAATGTAAAGCTCATGGTACTAAAAATATGTGCATATTGCACACTGTTTGGTAACGATAAGACAAAATGTGCTTCAGGGAGGAAAATTTTAGTAAGCCTAAATTGATTCCGACCAGAAACCCAAGTAAGGGGCTCATACCCAGTTGTCCATTTGTATTTTTGTGCACAACATGTAGCCTACTGTAACTACAGACATACTGTATGACACATTGACAGTTTTCAAATTTTCACCATATTACATATTATGTTATAACACATTTTACACAGGGTGACGGACGTACAGTGACGGACGTACAAAATAATCTACGTCTGTCACATGGTTTTGCTAATTAGTATAATTAATGGTAGGCTTCCAATTTGCTATATACACTTGGTATATCTAGTATGCTTTATACATTTTTGGTAATTTCTTTGTACCTGGTTCGAAAAGGAAATAAACAAATGCCATTTTCTTGTGACGGACCTATATCCATATTTTCATTATTTTTAAATATTTAATTTAAAATATGGCGTTAATTACAAAAAGTCAAAAAAAGTCACCAAATTACACAATACATACTAATTCTTTATTTTAATGAAAAGTGAATCAGATTCTGATATTTTGCAAGGGAAAAAAATTATAACTACATTTACTTTAGTATTTCAAAATATGGATTAATTGTATTGAATTCCAATTATTTTCCATGTGGTTAGTGAATTCTTAATTTATTTTTATTTCACAAAAATATAACTCATTAGCTTCAAAATGATGTATCACACATACACATTTGATGTATTTTAATTTTCATTTGGTTTACTAATTTACGGAATTGCCCATTAGTTTTCCAATTTATATCGTCGAATATATCTTTCCTATTTTTGTAACTTCCAATCCATAGTCCATCTGTTTTATTTCTATTTATTTTCATTTCTGATATACCCGTGAAGTCATCAATTGTTAATGATATTTTGATGGACAATTCATCACTAAGGAATAATTTGTCATCAGCGTAACTAACTATTCTGACTTCTGAAATAGGAAAATCTTGTTTGGGAAGTTCAATATCTCTAATTTGCTTGCACTGTTTGATTTTAAGAGAGAGAACTTCAAGACAAATATTAAAAAGAAGAGCACTCAATGGGCAGCCCTGTCGTACGCCAGATCTGATATCAAAAAAATATGATTAATGTGGTTAACTGGTTTGAGTTCCAAGTCTGTGATTTTACTGCGACCCTTCCTTTAACCTATTGTCCCCTTGGGTACCCAAAGAGAACTGAAAAGTATAGAACATTTTTCTATTTACTTCAAACTTTGATGACATCTGGAAATCATCAGCCATTCATCAGTTAGTCACATGGCAGAATGATAGACTTTGGGAAATGGCGGGGAGTACGGGACGCCGTTTGGGACACTGCTAATTATGTCTTTAAATAGGCATTCCTTTGTTACAGAAATAATTATGTGCCACATAATTATTACTGTCAAACTATTATGTGTACATAATTAATTCTGTTGTTAGAGAAATAAAATAGCAATGTCCCAAAACGGCGCCCCGTAGTACGGAGTTGCATATGATAGATTCTGTAGGCCTATTAGTAAACCCTTATTTAGATTGTTCCATTCATATGGATATGGGTTAACAATTTATTTATAAAACAATTTTATAGTGTGGCTAGGGACATACTCCTGTCAAAATTAAAGACTGAACCAAAATTTTGAATTAATTTGACCGTGTGACTTCAGCTTAAAGCATTCAGGGCTTATCGCAATGTTTATAATTACCCCGACTGGATGCTACAGTGCTTTTTAAGCCGTTATATAATGAAATGACTTACACGGACAAAAATACCATAAAACATCTAATAATAAAACATAACTCTATTAATAACCCCTTCTATTAGCAACCCACCCTAGAAGTTATAATAATCTATAATAATACCATATTAGTCTAATAGTATCCCATGGAGTACTTTTAGAGCAGGGAGATGTAAATTTCTCATTGGTTAGAGTCACCAAAACTATAGACATAGTTACATTGTAATCAAATTTTTTGTCGCTTTAACGCGATTTATTCCTTAAAATAGGCATTCTTTAATGTGATTGCACGTCCGTTGATGATCCTTCCTAGAATTTACTCCTTGGTAATTGTCCTTAATGCAGAGCATTGTTCCAATTTTATTTCAAAATAAGGATATTTTAGATGAGGAACTGACGAGTGTTTTTAAGGGTTTTTTTTACCCCCACTGAGAATTAGGCTAATTATATAAATTGCTGACGCAAAAAGCTGGGTGTTAGTGGAAGTTTCTATTTTCAAGTGCCTACATAATAGCATAGTTTGGATGAAACACGCATTTTGCAGAAACACATGCGTGATCATAAATTTGTCAAGCATTTAGCACAAGTCTGCGTGATAACGATTTATCACAAATTCAGAGGAAAACGTATTTAAACTTAGAAGAAATTGGTTTTAATAAAAATAAACCAGACCTCTGCGAGGGCCAAGGCTCCTATGCGGGCATTCGTTAAATATTGCACTACTGTATTTGCGGTGATGTAAACATGGCAACAAACGAAACCAACGTGAGACCGGCCTCAAGTGTTAATCCGGCAGTTTTATTTTTATTGTTAAGCGCATCGAGGCTGAAGCTTAATGCGCTATTTCTGCCAAAATTATTATTATTATTATTATATTATTATTATTATTATTATTATTATTATTATTATTATTATTATTAAAATTATTTTTATTATTATTATTATTATTATTATTATTATTATTATTATTATTATTATTATTATTTAAGAATAGAAACCTCTTGATTTCCAGAAATGACACTCAGACTTTGACATACCGGTATATGTGTTGGCTTGGCATGGGCCTATTCTTATATTTTTTAGTCTTACTGCCCGACAAGCTCTGTTTGATGGGGGAGGGGGACTTGCCCTATCCGGTGGGCCCTACATTAACTATGGGTCGGAGCCAGCAATGATTTCACTATACCGTACTGTACACACATAGCTTCCGATAGAAAGGCAAATGGATTATCAAGTTTGCTTTTATCAAACCACAACACAATTCTATGCTGTGTCTGTAGAACCTTATCCATACCACATTATCAGGTATAAAATTGAAGCTTTTTGGAGTGTAGGCCTAGATAACGTTTTCTGTCCATACTACCCAGGAATGTCCTTAGAGTCTAATCCATCACATTTAAGACAGTTAGTTGGACAACGAAAGTAAACAACATTCCATAATAGTTTTCCTCTTATCATACAGTTACTAGCCTTTTCAAGGGTAGGGGGTATTGTCTTCCATTAGTTACGACTTTAATATTTGTCAAAATAGAAAATTATTAAATAGGGTACGACGTCATATCCAGTTTTGCTTGGGTACGAACGTTCATAACAGATGTCTATAAAGTCACTTTTGCCTGTTTACAAAAAACAGCGTAACATGCATCTCACATAGATACATACATACATACACACATACATACGCGCATACACACATACATACATACATACATACACACGACGGGCATCCTAAAGCTCTGCTTGGAAGCATAGGAACCAAGAAGGTCATGCAGTAAACTTGAGTCATTAGAAGGCTTTCGTTATCTCGTTCGAGAATCAATTCAGAAAATTTCTCTTTCCCGACCAAAACAACCCAGCCAACCCCACGCACTGAGTCGCGTGCGGTCTTGCGCGTTCATTGTCACAACCAACAGCTGACTATGTGACTGAGACCTGGGGTAGATTGCTATAAAACGGTCTTAACCGGTAGTCTTAACTCCTCGAATAAAGCCGGCTTTATCACTCTGACGGTCTTACTAAAAATCATTCCTCTAAGACCATTGCTATAAAACTGCAGTCTTCCTTAAGACCGCTTTGAGTCTTGAAACGCAAACAAGCACTCCCAACGTAAGATTGGGAGCGACGTCATGCGTGCTCGACGCACGCAAATGTATCGAATTGAACGTAAATAAACATAGACCTATTTTTACAGACGCTGAAAAGCGTGCGGAATATTCGTCGTTCAGTTCTCCGACTTTGACGATCTAGGCATAGGTCTTGCCATTTCAAGTAGGCTTTAAAATTTAAGACGGCTAACTGGGTAGACCGCGGTATAGCAATGGTCTATAATCATAGACCAGTAGTGACGTCACGATTATAGTCGGCTAACCGTCCAAAGGCCGCTTATAGCAATCCACCACCCCTGACCCACGGCGGTACTCGGCCCCTAACCAACTGGTGTATAGTCACGCATTTCAAATCGCTCAGGTTGGTAACTATGCTAATAGTAGCCCATATGCCTAGGCTATTCTAATAACAAACCATCCTAAAAAACAATTAAATAGTAACCCAGGGTTATTATTGGAAGTTTTAAGGTAATTTGTTTCAATAATTAAACTCTAACGATTTGGCGTTATAACATATACGTTAACAATTTGGTGCTCTAAATATTCCTTATAGGCCTAATTAGGCCTATAATACGAATTTATTAATGTCATTTTCAACTTTAACACATTGCTGAAGTTGATGCAACGTTCTGTTAACGTCTTTTTCTGATTTATTTATCATAAACCAAAAACACAACTTTGCATCAACGTTCAACAATGTTGTTTTGTGTTCGCTGGGTCAGTACATTTAGCCTACTCTTTTTATCCCGTAGTCAATATTCCTATTTATATTCTATTTATATAATCATTTACTTCACTTCATGACATTACACTTGTAACTTTGCCAGTAAGTTTTTTTCAAAGGCTTAAGTAAATAATAATAAAGTCTCAGCTACGGTACCTTCTTTAATCTCATAATTGACGAAGTGTCTTCCATCCAGGCGTATTTACAATTTGGACATATTCGTTTAGCCACTTTGTAGCGTTCATGTATGCTTTGTAGAATGGATGCGAATGGTGTCACACCAATACCGGCACCAATCAACACGGCGTGCTCTGCTTGAAATATATGCTGAGATGGGGCTCCGTATGGACCGTCTATGTAAACCTTGAAATGGATAAAAACAAAATGTAAGGGTAAATAATCTTGGATTTGATGGATATTAGTAGTCCTATCATAACATAGCTAAGCATACACCTGTAAAGACCCACCTCGATATCTGTGCCACTTGAAGATACCCCATCCAATACGACGTCCAACGAATGTTGCGTCACGCGTCTCCTTTGTAACTTTTTTGGTGTTTTTGCCTTGGAGAATTTCTGATTCGTTTCATTGATTTCTTTGCACCCATCGTTTTTCAGACTCGGCGTACCGGTAATAAAATTGATTAGAATAGAATACTTACGTTGCTGTTCCGGGGCGCTGCTGATGGTAAAAGGGTGCCACTCATGATGTGCAATGCTTGGTATGTTGATGTAAACGTACTCACCTGCCTGAAAGCTAAAATTATTTGGCCTAGGAATCACAAGATGCAGCACCTTCAAAATTAAATAATATACGTTATTCAGATTTATATTTATTTAATAAGAAGATTACATTATTTATAACTAAACATTTAAACATGAGAGCAATAATAGCATTAGTAACATTTCATTTAATGTACACCCTTTTGTAAATGTTCATGACAATGTGAATGGTTTATTAATTTTTACTTTTAAGTGTATTACAATTCGTATATAATTACTGTATGCTTATTTAAATGACCTTTTGCTTTGCTTTACGTTTTAAGATTAATAATCTATTTGTTTGTTCTTTATTTTCTATATACCATATTCCATTTCTTGTTATGAATGTAAAATTTCAAGGACTGAAGTTCAAGTGACCCTTGTTATACTCACTAAATAAACACTATTTTCTATCTAGTATAATCCTGATGAAGAAGATAATGATGATGATAATTTGATGAATGGTGATGAAAATGATGACGATTATGATAGAATGATGATAAAGATGATGATGTTCATAATTGTTCTTTATCACACACAACTATAGTCATTCTGCATTATACCTTGTCTGGCAGAACTACAGCCTGGTTAATGAAAATTCTCCCAAACTTAGCTTTTCTAACGAGTTTCATTCTGAGTACACGCTCTATGACATACAATACTCCAGGAATCACAAACCACATCCAAAACTTCTGCGCATGCACCATAAGAAGTAGCCACCACAAGAGTGATAATTGATGCGTCCAATAAAAAACCTATAAGAATGATTACATTCTCAGCATTTTCAAAAATGTTGAAATTCAAAATTGAAAAAAAAAATTTAATTCATAATTGCTTGGCAAAAATGCGACAAAAAGTTGCTCATTGATTATTTATCAAATGAGTCACTCATCATGTTAGTCAGTCAGCTGGACGTCAGTCAGTTAATCGTCAGTCAGTCAATTGCTAACTACCTTACCTTCTTTAGATCCTACACTCGTCATCGTCTGCTCACTGCAAGAAGTGAACTGTAATTGTTAAAATTTACACTTACTTGGAAATAACCTTTCCTCCTAACCAACGATACTGAGGACGTAGATATCACGATAAGTAATACCAGAAGTAACATGCCAGTGACATTTGCCGTTCCTGCAATCCATCCAATTCTCGACTTAACTGTTAAAAAGTGCTCCACTGCCGAGAGAGAAGTGTTGCCCTCTTTGCTCATTTCAACTGGTGATGAAAGGATAATTGCTTATACGTGACTGTGTAAAGTTAATTATGATAAAGGTATTATCTAATTTATTATGGTCTGTCTTCGTAATTTTGCACAGAAATCCTATACATCTTTTAACCATTAAGTAAGTAGTGCTGCGTGGATGAAGAAGCAGAGTGACAATGAAAAAGTAGTATGCGTAATTTTGTAATGGCATAGTATGGGTGCAGGCTACTGTAATAAGCCCTATTTTAGCTGTGGCTTTCTTATGAGGTGAGGTTGAAGTCATTTGTTAAGGTACCGTCCTACACAATCTGTCAAACGATTTTTAGGGCTTGATTCACATTATTGCAATTTAGCCACGTTGAGCGCTAATAATTTAGGCCAGGGTTTGGTAGACCTAAGATAACATTGAATAAAAAGGAAGCCTTGTGTTACGGCACATAAATGAATGTAATCTAAGGACATCTTCCTCAGTGGCATCAGGGTGGAATAACTGGAGAAAAATAATTATGTCAATCCGAAGTCAGTAAAATATGAAATAATCGTAGTAATCAAACTCACGGAAATGAATGATGTGTGAGATGGTGTGGATGGTTGAAAGTAGAATGATGACACAAGCTACTGTTTTGTGCAGAAGAATGTGCTGATCGATTGGTAGATAATGTGATAGAAGTGTTCCTCGTAATAGTGTCAAAAATTTCCTCAGCATTAAAAATAACAATATAGTTCCATTCAAATTTAAACAAGCGCCTGAAATATAGAAAAACAACATGTAATCATTTAGTAGTTGTTGCTTTGTTTTTCTATTGTGTCATGCAAACTTACACGGATGTGTTCTAACGATTCTGTACTATAACCTGTGATCAGGAATACTCACCGCATCCCTTTGCAATGGAAAGCCAAAAATAACCGACGTTAGTTCTTCTAGTTTTTACATTAGCTTCACAAAAGAGAGCAGTATTTAAAAAGACGTAAATAATAGCAAACGCAAGTAATGGCAAGTTGTTGCGAATATACGCTCTACTGAAACGTTTGGCTGAGCAATTCCATATGATGGAAGTCCAATGCTGATTCACTGGCGGGTGCATCCATGATGCAGCACTGTCAGATATTAAACAAATATACATATATTTTATAATGACTGAATGTGAAGATCATATTTTTGGTATAAAAATGTGGCAGTCCACATTCCTATCGACACACATTGCATCTATAAAATAAAGATTTAGAAATGTGTCAGATAAAAGTAGGCCTAAGAGCTAATGAGATGATGTGGAGATCAATTAAATATAGTATAAATTATTTGACGCATTCGAGACTTGCGGAGGTTGATTTTTTTCTTCTGTCATGTTTTAATATTTATCCATTGCATTATTCCACTTAATATATATTGTTTGCAAACCTGACAGTTAAATTTTCTGTAATATCAGGATATTTGGTGAGCTGATTCTGTAATTCATCGAATGTAATGGAACCGCTGTCGTCTTCATCCGCCTCGTGAAACAAAACACTGGTAAGTTCATGCAAAGTTTCGTCACTGAGCTGAATTGCACTTTCTGCCATACATGACTTCAACACTGTATGTAACTCATCGTATTCTATTGTTCCATTGCCTGAAATAACAATCGAAGTAATAACGATTCATTACAAATCGAATCTTACTTTAATTTATTGCAAGTTACACTTATAATTTGTTTACTTGTTACTAAGCCTATACTTTTATAGCGCTTTTTCCTTGTGGTTACAAAGACTTAACTACTCTCCACTGTAATATTTCCATACAGCACAGCCCGCCAACAAAAACCAATGGCATGCTTTCATGAGTCATAAAGACCAAAGAAAATCAATTGTAATAACAGATAAATAGATTAAAATGTGCAAAACTAACAAACCCAGCCAAACATGACATTTAAAAAGACAAGTTTTAAACTGTCTTACATATTTGAAGTTCTTAGCGGAGGAATCATGATATTCCATAATCAAGCCGCTGTAGATAAGAAAGAATCGTCATCACCGATACGCTTACGGAACAGTGGTCTGACAAGATATATTGAGGATGCCGATCGAGTTTATCGAAAATGTGTATAACCTGTTATTATGTCCGCTGGACATGTACGCCAAAAACAGATTTGCGGACAAAAGAAGTAATTTGAATTTCATTCTTCGCTGGACTCAACCAAAGTTTCACGACTGAGGAAAGATGTGGGTATACGAGCTTTACAAGAAAAATATGTCTGGCAGAAGCATTTTGAAGTTTTTTGCAGAGTGTTATCTTTCTTCAGTAGACCAGTGTACACAGAAGTTTCTAAGCCACAGCAGCATACGTATATAAGGAGGCGTGGGACGCAAACTGGAATTATTTACTTAAGGCTAACTTATTATAGGCCTAGACCTACTGAACAATTTCAAGGGCAAAAATAACACTCAATTCGTTGAAATTGGCTCTCATCTCAATATCATATGCGTAGATCCCGGGGTGGATGGAGGGGATATATCCCCCCCCCGCACCAATATTCGACAAGGGGGGGGGGGATGGTCCATTGTTTCATCCCCCCAATATTTTGACTATGTATGGGATAAAATGGAGCTTTACACACTTCAAAAGACTGTCACAGAAATAATTTGCACTGTCTTATGCGCTTACAAAGATGAAAATTAGCATAATGTATTAATGTTGATAACAAAATTATTTTATCTGGTACCAATCTAAGCTCATCGTTCCTTAGATGTTAGATGTGCTCGCAAAGAGAGCCACATTTCAAACTGAAGGGTGTGTACGACATCAGTAATGTTATGTCAATTCCAATAATGTTTAAGGTTATATCGGTTGATGAGGAATTTATTGATTAGGCCTACAATAGCAAATTGCATTAATTTATTTTGCAGAAACAAGGTTTCCAGCTTCAGAGGGGGGAACATCCCCTGTCCGCACAAGGGCACACATTGGCGCTAACACCAGGCGCGTAACAGGGGTATTTGGTCAGAGTGGGTATTTATTTTTTTAATTTTTTATTTCAACCATCTTTAAAGAGGGTAACCCTTCTAGTTTAGCCCAGTAGGTTAACTGATATTCAGAGGCCCTCTTAAATAAAATTAAAGAACAGTACAAACAACATCATTAAAACATAATAATAATAATAATAATAATAATAAAAATAATAATAATAATAATAATAATAATAATAATAATAATAATAATAATAATAACAATAATAATAATAGCATAGGCTACAATCCTCATTTCCCGGTTAGTAATTTACCATACCCACCCCACCCCACCCCACTCCCCATATAGAAAACAATACGACGGGCTTATCTTATTTATAATATATAGGCCACACACGTGTGTTTGAAACTAAAATA